GTGCTCCCGTGCCCGGGGCTTGCGTCCCCCGCGCCCCCGCCATGCGCCCACCTCGCCCCCGCGCCGCGCTGCTCGCGCTGCTCGCGCTGCTCGCGCTGCTGGCCGTGTCCCTTGCGGCCGCCGAGGCTCCGCACCTGGTGCGCGTGGACGCGGCCCGCACTCTGCGTCCCCTGCAGCCCTTCTGGAGGAGCACCGGCTTCTGGTGAGCGCTCCGCGGGGGACACTGGGGTCGGAGCGGCCCAGCACGCCCCTGCTCGCTGCGCGCTCTTCCCAAACCGCGGCAGCGCACCCCGGCCCGGGCCTGCGGGACCCCCGTGTCGCACCTGGAGAGACCTGCAGTAGGCGCTCCGAAGTGAGGAGGGCCGCGGCTCGCTCCTTCCTTTCGGGTCCAGCCTCAGAGTGGGGATCTCTTCTCTGTCCGCTGGCTCTATGCGATGTTTCCGGTGCTGCGGAGGTTTTCTAGCTGAGCGGCTGCCCCGTGTGGTGGCCTGGGGCCAGGTCCTGAGTGTGCCTTGTCACCCCCCAGAGGCTGAAGAGCCTGGTGGCCAACCGCTGCAGCCCAGGCTGCAGGAGGGGCTGTGGCCCAGGACACTACTCTTTGGCGCAGACCGGGACCCCCTCGAGGGGGCAACCCCAGAACGTTCGACGTCCCTGCAGTGGAACTTGTCCCCGTCCCTGGTGTCCCCGATTGCCTCTGTCAGGCCGGTGGGGCAGGGAGCAGGGTGGGAATGTGATCTCTCTGGGAGCCCCCGACCCCCATAAACCTGAGACTTCGTCACAGTCCTGGCACTAGGGGGCAGTTTATTACATCAGGGACAGTAAAATTCACCAGCAGACACGCCCCGGTCCTTGCCCTGAGTTTGTAGGTGTGGGGCCTGTGCTGAGGCCCCTCCGCTATCCCCACTCAAGGGGACTAATGCCTCTGCTTCCCCTTGTTTTGTGCCCAGTCCCCCACTGCCGCACAGCCAGGCTGACCGGTATGACCTCAGCTGGGACCAGCAGCTCAACCTGGCCTACGTGGGTGCCGTCCCTCATGGTGGCATCGAACAGGTTCGGACCCACTGGCTGCTGGATCTCATCACGGCCAGGTGGGTGATGGAGGGGATGGGCAGCCTGGGGGCAGCTGGGCAGAGCCCAGTGTATGGAGATACAGACGGAGACTAAGAGGAGGTGGCGTCTGGGTGTGGAGGACAGTGCGGTACCGGGCCATGGCGGGGTCACGGGGTGGGGGACTTCTGCTCCAAGAAGCCATTGCCCCTGTGCTTCTCGGCCAAGCATCCTGGGGCCAGGGGAGAATGGAGGGCACCCTCCTGGCGGCACAGGTGCTGTGGCTGCTGGGGCAGCCCCTGGATCGGGCACAGCTGGACCCTGCAACGGCGAGTGGGCACTCTCGCTCTGTGCTCAGACTGTGTGGGGATGCCACGCCAGGGGCCGGGCTGAGGTCATGTTGGTCACATCTGCCTTTGGCCCTGCCATCCCCTGTGGGGGCTGAGGCACAGGGTGTAAGAGACACTTGGGTGTGTGCATTGTGGGGTTTCCTAGACACAGAGACTCTCACACCCCTGGCCAGAGCTGCCAGCTCTCAGTTGCGGGGGGGGGGCGCTTGCGGGCCAAGGGACCAACATCCTTTTGGCACCTTGGAGGCCACGTGACTGCCTCAGGGTCCTGGTTCAAGTAAGACGGGACACCACCTGTCAGACGGGCTCCACGGACCACAGATGCACAGCACTGGGCCCAGGCTGGCACCGAGGCAGCGTTTGTCTCCAGGGTGCAGCTGAGGGTTCTCAAGTGTCTGGGTCCTTGTGTGTGTTCACTGCCGCCCTCCATCCCCTTTGGGGTTCCCTGGGTCCTCTAGATTGGAGGCACCAGGCGACAGCAAGATTGCAGTGATGGATGGTGGGAGTGGAGGCTGGCGGCAGGTGCTGGCTCTGTTAGAGGGTGTAGGTGGCGGCTACCAGCTCCTGGCAGCGGGCTCGGGCCGCCTGCACGGCACAGTGCACGCTGGGGAACAGCTGCCCCTCCTCGGCCGCGTCCCCCGGGTCCTCCCCAAGGAAGCCGCCTCTCCTCAGGGTGTCCCTTACTGAGGGGCTGCAGCAGGCCAGGAGCAGGGTGATGCCCAAGGCCCCGTAGTCTCGGCGCAGGTCCTGCAGCGTGGCCAGGCCGGCAGCATCCAGGAACAGCAGCGGGGCACAGTCAATGACCACTGCGTGGAAGCGGGTCGCCGAGGGCACCAGCGCAGCTGTGCTGCTCCCGGGACCCAGGCCCCTGCCTTCGACAGGCTCTCCCTCGCCAGCCCCCAGCCCTGGGCCCCGCTCCTTCCTCCTGGCGGCTGCATAGCCCGCGTTCAGCCCGGTCAGGCTGTAGAGAGACCGCAGGAAAAAGTCCTTATTGGCGTAGTAGAGGGGCCCCGCGAAGCGGAGCACCTGCACACCGGGCTCGGGGGCCAGGCCCTCAAATTCTGCTGGGTCCCCGTAGAAGCTGGAATCCCCGGCGCGGGCGAGCAGGGCCGCGTGTGGGCGCCGTGTGCGGCTGGCCAGGCTGAGCAGTGAGAGGAGAATGCCGGCCAGGAGCCCGGCCTCGGTGCTGACCAGCACGCAGGTGGCTGCCGTGGCCACCCAGACCAGAGCATCGGCAGGGCTGAGCCGCCATAGCCGCGGGACGTCCCACACCTTGCGCAGGGCCCCACGCAGGCTGACGATGATGACGCAGGCCAGCACGCTCCGCTGCAGGTCCCGGAACAGGGGCGCTAGCGCCAGCACCACCAGAAGCACCACAGCGGCGCTGACCGCGCTGGACAGCTGCGTGCGGCAGCCGGTGGCGGTCTTCACCAGGCTCTTGCTTAGGGCGGCACTGGTGGCAAAACAGTGGAAGAAGGCAGGCAGCACGTTGCAGCAGCCCACAGCCAGCAGCTCCTGGTTGGCGCGCACAGAGTAGCCATGGCTGCGGGCGAACATCTCCGCCAGCGAGATGGAGAAGGCGGAGCCCACGAGGGCCAGGGACGCGGCGTCCAGCGCCACGCGCCACACCAGCACCGGGTCTGGCACATGCGGGGCCATGAAGCCAGTGGGGATGTCGCCAGCCACACTGGAGCCGAAGCGCTCGTGGAACTGCCCTAAGTGGGACACGAGCGTGGCCACCCCGATGACCAGCAGCTCTGCGGGCAGCGGCACCTTCAAGCGGTGCCGGTAGCGGTCCGAGAGCTCCTTGGCCGCCAGCAGCACGGCCAGGCACGCGGCACTGGTGAGCACGTCGCACAGGTTGGCCTGCCCGGCACTGCGCAGCAGGCTCAGCCATGTGCTGACCACCAGGCCCGGCCCCTGGTGCCGCGGGACCTGCACGCCCAGCAGGTGTCGGAGCTGGGAGGTCAGGATGGTCACCGAGGCCCCCATGGCGAAGCCGTCCAGCAGTGGCTGCGAGAGGTAGGCGGACACAAAGCCCAGCCCGAGGATGCCCATGAGGACCTGCAGACAGAGCGTGGTCAGGGCTGCAGGGCGTGGGCACAGCACAGAGCCGGACCTCCCTCCCTCGCATTGCTTATTTCCCACGTGGACCCCATCTGCGGCCGCCTGCACATGCGTGTGCGCGCACAGGCATGGCAGACACCGGAGTGCGCGCTGTGGCCACGATGCTCACCGTGGTCTCACACACGCGGGCTCTGGGCATCGGAAGGCAGCTCCTTTCTCTGCCCCTCCCGGGGGACCTGGAGCTGAGGGGAAGGACCAGAGGTGGCCCTTGGGAGGGGGCGACGTTGGGGTGGACAGCCCTGGTCCAGGGAGGGCTGGGTGCGGGGAGGCCGTGGGAAGGCAGGCAGGCAGGCAGTTCCCAGGATCCCACTTGGGACAGGAAGCTGGGGAGGATGTGCAGACCAAGTGGGGGCACATTTGGGCCCGAGGCCACACTCTGCAGCTGACCAGGCAGGCCCCCGACCCTGGGCACCCTCAGCCCCTCTGGTGCCCCGACTTGGGGTGCTGTCACGCACCCACTTCTGCCTATGCCCTGTTCTCCCCTCTCCTTGCGGGTTAGGCCACCGCCCTGACCTCCTGTCTCCCCCGGGCTTGGCCCTTGCAGGGGGCGACCAGTACCTGGAGGGGCTGCTCTGAGGGGCCGAGCCGGCCTGTCTAGGCCCAGGCCCAGCTCCTCACCTGGTAAACCCCGGCCAGCAGCGTGAGGGCGGTGGCCACGCGGATGGCATAGCAGTCCCGGCTGCAGTCCTGTAGCCCGAGCGCCAGCACGGTGACCGAGGCGTTGAGGGCGCTGCGGTTGGCCCCGGGCCCCGGGCCGTCCTGGGCGGGGTCGAAGCCAGCCAGCAGGAGCTCGCGGTCTACCACCTGGCCCACCATGAGGCACAGCAGGCTGAAGATACCCACGGAGATGTGGCGTGAGGTGCCCATGAGGAAATAGATGAGGTTCGCAAAGAAGGACGTGTACAGGCTGTAGATGGGCTGCAGCCCGGCCAGCAGCGAGTAGGCGATGGCCTGCGGCACCAAGATGATGCCGATGACCAGCCCCGATATGACGTCCCCCGCCAGGTCCTCCCGAGGCTGGTACTGGCGGAGCCAGCGCGTGGCGGGGAGCAGGTTCTGCAGCAGCGCCCAGGCCCCCTGCACGCTGCACGCACAGCTCCGCCGCAGCCGGGCCTTCAGAGCCTCTCGCAGGCCCGGGGGTTCGGGGGGCCGCCGGCGAACCAGCGCCAGCCCCCCGCCCTGCTGTGTGCACTCAGGGGACACTTCCATCATGGGGCACCCGCCTGCCCCCCGAGAAAACCTGCAGAGTGGGCAGAAGTGGGTGTCATTGCTGGGGTGACGAGACGTGTCAGAGTCAGGGCGTCACGGAGACCCAGACTCGCGTGGCCAGAGAAAGCTCCACTGCTCTCCGTCCGTGCCCGAGGCCCCTCCGCTCCGCCACCCACACCACCGTATAGTCCCCTCTGGCCGTCCCTCCATCACCTCTGCACTGCGGCCCTGCTGGCAGGAAGAGCCTTGCAGATGCCAGGACCCCAAATCTGTGCTGCAGCAGCGCCTGCCACTGCCCGGTCCTTGTGGCAGAATTCCTGGAACGTGCTTTGAGGGGCCAGCTGGGAGGGGAGCGGGGGTGACTGGTGTCCATCGCCTGCAGGGTGTTCTGGGACAGCAGGCCCCTTTCCCAGTGTGTGTCAACGCTTCTGGGTTTTGGCTGGTGGCTCAGGCCGCACAGGCGCACCGCAGAACGCACGTGCCAACCGTCCCTGCTGTCCAGAGGGCAGCCTGCCCAGGCTGACCTTGCCTCTGTGCTCAGCGAGCACCAGGGCGTCCCGTTCACAGCTGTCCTGAGGTCCGCCGGGACTTCAGCTCTCACTGTCCCCCTCATGGTGACATGAAGCAGATGGTCTCTGCTTCCTCAGAGCCTGGTCACCCTGGCGTGGTGTGTGAACTGGCCGGGGACGCGGGGCCTGGGGTGTCCCCGGGTGTGGAAGACGGGTGCTCGTCCCGGCCTCGTGTGAGGTGTGGGCAGGTGGATGCTGCCCCCAGAGCTCGAGTGGCAGGCTCGCCCTTTGGGGGGTGCTAGGGGAGCTGTTTCTTTCCTTTGAAGACCTCACCACACAGGGGTCCCTGGACACCTTGAGCTCAGCCAGCCCCCGAGGTCCAGGTGTGTCAACTGACTGACTGTTTAAACAACGGGGAGTCCACAAAAGAAACACTGGAATCGGGCCTCTCTACTCACAGCATCCTGCCCCTCCGCTCCATCCAGGGAGCTGGCCTCTGCTGTGGCCGAGTTGTCTAGAGCCGTCGCTGTCCTGCCGCAGGGTCCCAGGGGGACTCTTACCTGAGGGGGCACCTCACGGGCTCTGCAGGTAGTGTGGGCCTAGTTTGTCTGTCCCCGGGGCCTCTGGCTCAGCGGGTTGGGCATGCAGGTGGTGGACTCAGGCACAGAGCTGGCTTGGCACTGACCGGCGGGCAGTTCTCTGTGCTTAGCATCTGACTGCTCGGCTGTGCTGGGCATGCAGTTAAATCATTTACTCCAAAGATTGCTGAGTCACAGGTTCCCCCAGATGAGCATTACCTGAGCGGCTAATACGGGGAGTTGTACTGTAAGCAGAGGCTCACAGATA